CCCCACCCGAGGCCATGCAACCCCCCCCCCCCCCCAGAAAACACTGCACAGATACACTGGTTTGATAGATATCCACAGGTTTTATATAAGGCTACATAGAGAGGAGGAGGAATAGTGTGGTAGTAGATCTGTCCTAATACAGACCTAGTTGCTGACAAAAAAATGAAAGTTGCTTGCAAGGGATAAATTATATTACACTTCCCTCTGACATAGCCACCTCCTTCATCACCTCAGAGGAGAAGTAACAGAGGAGGTTACAGCAAGGTGGCATGTTTTTTTAAATTGTCAATGAAAAAAAGATTTACAGGTAGGCATGCATCTAAGTTTTTCTTAACTATTTTACAGGGATTGCATTAAAAAGAACAAAAAGTTTAGTTCAGCTTTACAAATGTAATTAGACGACTAAACTACATTCACACATTTTTCTGTTATCACATATAAGCTGTGTATTTATAAGAACCTGGAGGTTGCTTTAAACCTTTTAAAATTCTTTAATGTGAAGTGATTAGCCATCACAACCCTTGCTTCTATACATTCTAGTGCTTGATGGTATCAAGCAGGGAGTGCATTCCACCAAGTCAGCTAAAATGTGCAGCATATCCATGAGTCTGAGATTGTTTTGGTCTCCCTGTAATAAGCATATATGCATTGCTGGGTTTATATAAGGAAAGGAAGATACCGCACCTCAGACTTCCAATTATGGGTGACCGTGCATTTTACAGGAAAAAAAGACTCTAGGAACATCAGAAAATTTAAAACTGGAAGAACCTGTTGGTCAGTTTTATCATTAAACTATATGTGTCAGTAAACTGAGTCACTGAAGAGCCAGTAGTAGTCAGTAACATTTTCACTAGATTGCATCTAGACAAGTGGCTCATTTGAAATAAATGTCGGTAACATACCCCAGAATTTGTAGCCCCATTGATAATACCTTAATAATGACACTCATTAGTACAGATGCATGATAAAAGGTCTTCAACACTGCAGTACAAACTACCTTACAGAACAAGTCCAACTGAACATAACTGACTACTACTACTAGCTATACCCTATAACATGAGATTTTTATGGTAATCACTGACAGGTTTTATAGATCTTTATTGAGAATCCCTACCAGGACTTCCAGAAGACCCGCCAGTACCTCTAATGGTAGTCACAGGAGACATGCCATTACTTTTAATGGTCCTCATAGAATCCAGGCCTATGACTAATTATAGTCATATAATCTGGACCAGAAAATCCAGAGTGACCTGAAGGGAGCTGGGCATGTCATTTCTAATTCAGCCACGTATTTAAGCACCAACTCTGCAAGGGGCTTTCTGTTTGTACAAAAGCTATAATACCGTTGTTTGTTTCCTGTTGCTGACCCAGACCTCTGCTTGCTGCCGACCCTGATCTTCTGCCTGAACCCAACTACGCTCCTACCTTACCGATTGATTACTCACTGCCAACTTGGACCGCCTGACCACTCTGTTAGCTGTCTGCCTCAACCCCTACCTGGATCCGACTATGCTCTTGTTGCCTTACTTTGTCTCCTACTTGCTGGCTGCTGACCCAGACAGTCCGACCATTCTCTGACTCTCTTGTTGGGATCTATACCCTTTCCTGACCATGCTCCAGCTACTGTCTCCTCATTGGAGCCCTCCTGTCATGCTCATCCCTTGGTGGGGCAATCCTGGGGACCACGAACTGGCACCAGTAAGCAGCAAAACCAATCTCCACCATCAGGAGCTCTGGTGAAAACTGGCTAGTCATAAACTCCGCACGTCAGGTGGGCCCTTATCACCTGCCAGGGGCGTGTCATGACAGAGGTAAAGTAGATTAGTCACAGATACCCTCACTTAAAACCTATGGCCATCCTGGTGATGAAATCTTTACAAATCCACTCACTGTGATGATCATTATGAGAGGATTGTATTTTCCAGGTTGCTTTTTTTTATTAACAGTACATTATAATGCAGAAGGTGGCGTGAGACTCTATAGTATTAAAGGAGGACCATGAACAGGAAGTTTTGCTTGAATAAAAATATGCACAAAATCTGGAGCAATTCAGCAGCCAAAAGAAGACAATCCATAGTTAATATATACACACATATATATATATATATATATACACACACACACACACACACATAACTCTCCTGGAGCTATTTTGAGGACTAGTTCCAAAAACATTATATCACTCGCACTTTGTTGTTCCAGTTTTGAATTTTCTGGTTACTTTGTGAATGGTTTTTGTTTAAAGATGTTGCTTCTAACAAAATCTCTTCACCTGAACCTGAATTTAGCAGCATGTATTTCTTATTCACCAATGCCATATACTCCATAATGATTGGAGAACACAAATGTTGGGTGTCCGTTTATACTTCTGCTCTGATGATGGATTTTTTAATACTAGGCATTACCTATAGCTGGACATCTATTACTGGACATATCACAAAATAAAGCATTGAATAAAAAAAAGACAGCAGTGTTACCCACCAACCAATCAGGTATTTACTCTCCTCTTTAAAATATAATCTATAATCAGACTGGTGTTGTGGAAAACACTACTTCCTTTTTCTTTGGGTTTTATAAATAAAATACAACATAAAACTTTGGTAACAGTCTAATATAGAAATGATCATTTTCTAGCCATTGTCATTTCCTGATTCCCTGATCCCTTTACTGATCCCTAATTTCTGTAAACAAGCTCTGTTTGCAATCATAAATGTTCTTTTTCTTTAAAAAAAAATATATTTCATAATAGAGTGAAAACAAACATGTTGCAGGATACATATACTGATAGATATCACTGTATTTTGTGTTCAGTCTTCTAAACCAGAGGTATATTACTAATACTGGGACTCCAAACAACGTATCTGATTGACCAATGTTGTCAATATGTAATTTGTCTGGGAGACCAGAAAGTAGTTTCCAAATACTACCCAACAGAAGATATGCTGTAAATGGCCTGGAGACCCATTAAATTTATTAGGGCCACCCTGTTTGGGGCCTCAGCAGTGATCACCATAAAAAGGGCAACAATTAGATAGAAGCTCTAGTTAAAATCATTTACCCATTGTACTGAGGCTAGGGATGCATGTACATACTTTTCCATTCCATTGTTTACAATACTACTTGATGGAAGGCCCCTTTACCTCCAGTCCAGCTGAGATAGCCTACTGCTCAATTATATCACAGTATAGGCTCGCAGGGGTGCTTACTATTGGCTATTTACCAGTTTTACAGAGGAAACCCTTAGTTGGTTGTCCCTTATGTCCTTGCGGGCCATGGGTGGAGCATCTCTTTGCAGCTTAGGTAAAATAAGCTGGACATATTCCTTTACATTCATTCTTAGCTTCGGTAAAATTGTTACAATGGTTCAACAGAAGAGAGCTAAAGTCTTAGTTATTTAAAGAGGGGGACTGTTCATTTTTGTACAGTCAACAGCTCATTAACTTCCATAGTTGAGCCACCACAAATATCAGCACAGTTTTACAAGTATCTTATGTGGCACCTATCCTAAAACATTTCTTTTCAGCACAACTTCTATTGAAGTTAATAAACTGAAAGCTGCAAATCAATCCTGGAAAACCTCTTTAAATACGTTTTTAATGAAGTTATTCTCTAAAATTACAGAGATATAGCAATAATAATTAGTACCGCTATGCCCTGATAGCACTACTACTGATCTGACTTACTCAGGACAAGGGGAATTCAGGTTTGGTAAGTAACATTTCAGATTAATCAATTGTTCAAACTACTAGAAAATGTGGATATTTTATACATATGCTTTGTGGTCTGTGACTATAGTACAGCCATGTTTGGTCAGTACTGTAGACATAGCATTGTGGTGTGGCAGAAATGTAGAAAGCTGTGCAAGCCTTATGAAGAATTCCAAGTATAATCCTGGTAGATGGAAAAGCAGCATTTGGTAATATCAGTGAATGAAACGAGAAGCACCACCTGTAGGTAGAATGCCCAGAATTGTGGTGAGAATTCCAGTGATCTTCCCTGATAATGACAACAAACTTGGCACTCGGTGATCAGGTGCACTTGATTACAAAGACTGTGCAAGAAGGATGTATCAAGTAAAAAATGCTCTTTGCTTTAGACAAGGTAAAAGAAAGAAATGAAAAAGAGTTAAGTCCACTATCTGACAAGACTCCGTTCACAAGACAAGTGCCACGGGACACAAGGAGTGCACTAATATGGCAGTTCTTTCATATATTTGTGGGGAACAGCGCAGTAATTGAACATTTCCATGAATGCATTGTGGCAGTAACTATTTGTGGAGTGAGCATACCCTTTCAGGTCAGTTCTCAAGATGGTAGTTAAAGTTTGACCAGTCTTGAACTCACTGAAAAACAAACAAAAAAAAGACCATCAGTAAAGAAATAGTACAATATATGAGATAGTTCTGAAAACTCATGCTAAAGGGTAGACTAGTATTTTCTCTTCATTTTGCAAAAAGAACATGCTGCACTGTGCACAAAGCAAAGGAAGATCATATCAAGCTGCAGCAAAAGCTGAGGGTAAACAGCAGGCTATCAGCAAAACGTGCTGAGTAACAATATTTTGTTTCTAAACTATTTGCTTGTTCATGTACATTTTTGTAAGAATTTACATTTACTTATCCCATTTATCTGAAGGGAATGCACAGTGGTTTTGTACTAAGCAATCTTTGGTCCAGACAGCAGATGGCGCTCTTGTTCTCTTTTCACATATTCAGCTATCTCACTTTTTAGATATGCTGAGAAAACTACAGAACTGGAATTAATCATCACAGCAGTGACTGACCCCTTATCAGATAGCTCAGTAGGAGGTTTCCAATCTTGCTAGCCTATAGTATTTTGGGAATCTTTTGTCATGTGTGTAATGTTAACTTACAAAACAAAGTGTATGTGTTTATTATTTATAAATAATTTCTGAAACCACTTTACCTTTGACAGTACAAAGCAATGATCAATCCCTGTGTTCTGTGTAAATGCAGTGAATAAAAGTCTTCCTTTTACCTACTAGCCCATATGCCAAGGTTTTGGCATAATTTGTAAGAATTAGAAGTAAAAGTAATTACATTTGCATATAAAAAAATTATGTTTAATTACATTTATTTATTCACCCACATGTTAGATTGTTAAAATGTAGTTATTTACACAAAGGTGTGCTTGTGGTCATTGCACAGAAAAATGTGGTTATACAAAAGATTATATAATAATAATAATGTATACCTTAAGGCAAGTTGTATATCAAAGGTGGCTTGGAAAACTGGGATAGTTACCACATTAGTGTTATGCAATATACCATATACATACTGTATATAAATAAATTAATGTGAGCACCTAAAGGTTATAAGCCATGATTGTTAAGCCTAATATATGTGTTGCAAAGCTCTCAGGTACTGGATTATTTGCCCTTCATATTTGCCATTTTCATGCATAGGCATTATGGAACCATATGGCAATGAGTGATGTCCAAAGTTAGTATTAGTTAGTCAATTATCAAAGCTTATAGCTAGATGGTGAATATGCTTTGAGAAAAGAAAATTCTGCAACATTCTTAAAATGATATAAATAAAATACATAGCTTATATAGAAGAAAATAGTATAGAGAGTTAAAACTAGGAGCTTTTAAAATCACTAATACGAGTTATTAACACTAATAAGTAATCATCTACTTTCTTTGGGACCAACTTGTTTACAGCTGGATACACCCTTGGAAATTCTTGCCTGTGCCCCCTTGCCTACTGCATGCTAACTGACAGCTATGTGTCACAAAATACTGAATGTTTGCATTTCATGATTATGGCTTACAACTCATGAAAACCCCAAGAACCCCAAATCCACAACCTCAAAAAGTAGATTATTACATGCAATATATGTATAATTTGGAATTCTAATTGAGGGTCTGTCTACAGACTTCATTGTAGACAAGGAACATGGCTTTATATCTACGGGCAACAAAGTAAAACTTTAGGTGACATTTCATTCAGTTTAGGAGTCCAGATCCAGTATGGCGGCTGCCATAAAGGAGCTAAGCAGTGCTGCTCATATGAATTAATTATTTTTTATCTAAAGCCCACATTTTTTTAGTTTTGGCTACAGCAGAGAAGGGTTTAATTCCCTGTCAGATTTGTATTGTTTTCTGTGTTCCCAATGGTGAGAAATTTTGAGTTATCACTGTAACAGAGGTAGAGAGGAAATCTTCCAGTGGGTAAACCTCTTCAGGTAAGAGAGGGGGTTTTGCCCTATTTTGGGGATATTTCTTCACATTTCCAGTTGTGTCTATGGGGCAGAAGGTGAAGGTTAGCTTCCCCATTCTGACACAGATGGCAAAAAAAACTTGAGAGGGGTTTCAGGATTTTAACCATTCCGATTACAATGCTAGTTTACTATTGGCTATTGCAAATTGAAATAGCCAATAGTAATGTCCCAATGCTTTTCAATGGCAAAATTCTTTTTTTTTTTTTTTATATTCTGATATCGCTCGTGTCAGAATAAAGAAAAAAAGACACAGCCCTGTTTCTCTCCTTGGTGGCCGGGAGCGGGAGGCTCCCAGAGCGCCCGGGAGAGTTTTATTTGGGCGCAGCTAACTGTCACTGCTAGCTCCGCACAATCGTTTTCTATTAACTTTTTTTGTACTTTTTAACAATTTTTCTGCTCTGCTCGGTACCTCCGAGGGGCCGAGCAGAACAGCCGAGCCGAATGCCGCTCGGCGGCATTCGGCTTTTCACTCACTGCTGTTCGGGATCTTTAAGAATAGCCCGAACAGCAGTGAGAAGCCTGCCGGGGGTTCGGCTCAGCCGATCCAGTTGTTGGATCGGCTGAGTCAAACTCCTTCTGCACTTCAGGTCAGCCAAACATGCTGAGCATGTTCGGCCCGACCCGAAGCCACACGAAGCAAGCCGATGTACGGCTGATTTCAGTCGATGTACGGCTGAAATTAGCTGTACCAGCCTGAAGTGAATAGCCGAACAGTGTTCGGCTCACTTCACTTCAGATCGGTCATTCACTCGGCTGCCCTCGGCAGCTTCGTGAATAGACCCCTAAGTGTGATAGGGAACCACACCTTAGTATTGGAAAAACGGGCTGAAACACTTGGCACTTGCATACATGGTCCTTAGGCTCCATTCACAATTTTTCAATCTGGTGCGCTTTGTTAATGCATGTGCAAAAATGCGCGTTGCATACAGGCAGCCCATTCATTTGATTGTGCTGCCAAAACACGACAAAAGACACACCTGCACTACAACACAGATATGTTCCTTTAGTATGTTGGGGTTTCATTCAAAATGCATGGCACCAAAACACAAATAATGTACGCAGTACCACAATGCATTTGTGTGAAGCCAACCTGAAAGTGGTTAAGTGGTCATAAAATGAGGTTTCTCCAATACACATCTCTATTAGCAAAGTACAAAGTGCAGTAGACATTAGCAAGCAACCGGAAATTACACAAGTACAAGGTGAACTTTGCTTAGGGCTTTGCTGCTTGAGAATTTGTCTTATAAATGCTTGAAAGAGAAAGTTCAATAACTATTTGGGGAATATACTTCCCATCTTCACCATGTTTGACATAGCAATTTCTAATAACCACTGGTGCTATTTCTGTTTATTTTCCTATAAAAACTAATACTCAGGTGTTGTAATATTTAGCATTTTTTGAAAAGCTGAGGGTAAAACCAATTAAAACAATAATAGATGGAACCAGTCACAGACAAGATTAAGCTTGCAAAATAAAGCTAATCATCCTATTTAGCTAGTGTACATTTTGAAGACATCACACTTCAAAAATGTATTGATGGCCAGCGCACATCACTGTTCTAAAAAAAAAACATCAATACATCTGTGACAAAATCCTTTTAGAATAAACACATAACTCTCTAGGCATCTTAAAGGTATGATGGACAATGATTGGTTGACATCAAGTTTATTTTCCAAGATGAAAAAATGCACAACGCAGTCCAAGCCACACACTAGTACAGCTAGCTCATGCTATTCAGAGTTGGATCGTGTGCCTGCAGACACATCTACTTACTGTACTGGAGCCGGAACTTGACTGGCTGAGTTTATCAAAACGAAATTTGAGGTTGGATCTTGGGGAATTTCTACTCTTTATATCTGTGAGAAGGAAAAACCATCAGATGTGCACTTCAATGGGTTCTATGCTAATTTAAAGTGGAAATGTATCAGTGTATTTCATTTATTAGTTCTGGGCTAAGTGAAGCAAGGTTGTATCCCCTTTGAAGCTCCCTTCTACTTACTACAAGACCATGGTAACCAGGTTTCTGACTTGAGCTGAACGTCATGGTTTAGGAGGGAGCTGGGCTGAAAACACCATCTCAATCTCACAGCATTGCCATGTCTTGGCAAGATAGGGGAGAAGAGGAACCTCCACACTGGGGTCACACACAGAGAAGGATATAAACCCTGCATCGCTTACTCAGAACTACTCTCTAGTTTTGGGTTGAGTTCCACTTTAAACATTTTCTACGAAAGGGGATGTTTAGCATAATGACTAGACCACTTAGACATACTATGATTTGGTTTTATTCTTCATGTAATAACTCTATTTCAAGATTTCTTTCATTGTATTTTGGATCTTGGTGACTTATTTGTGTTGTCAAATATCGGATGTGCAGAATCCAGACACCCACTATGCGCAACCTTGGTCTTAGGAGCTTTCAGATATATGTACTATGTGGAAAAATACAGACAGTATTTAAGGGGGGATTGAAATTAAAGGAGAACTATGGGGTCAGTGTTTTTCCCCATAGTTCTCCTTAGGGTAACGGGAGGACACAAACTATCGTCCTCCCGTTACCCTAAGCTCAGTATACCGCAAGCTACAGCTCGCGGTATACTGAGACGCCGCAGCCGGAGCAGATCCCGAATTAGATGACGGGATCCGCCCAGCTGCGTGAGTGACAGCTGGCTCTGCCTATCTATAGGCAGAGCCAGCTGTACCCGCCCTGTCCATTCCGCCAGTCAGCGCTGGCAGATCGGAGCGGGGAGAGGGGAATCCAGCCCCTCCCCCTGTCACGGCAGAGAGCCGTGACAGGATCGAGTGGCGAGCGAACCCGGTATGTGTTCGCTCACCTCCCGATCTACTAAGCCGACCTGTGACAGTCTCATTGTCACAGGGCGGCTAGAACCATGAGGTGAGTGAAAAGCACTCACCTCATAGTTCTCCTTTAAGGTGAAACAGTTACAGCAGAGCTTAAGTTGACTCTGTCACAACAGAGCCATTATGCCCAATAGGTCACCAGTGAAAGAAGTGTTAATATACTTACCTGTCCAGCAGCCCGTGTATTGAAAAATCCCCGCAATCGCTGCTTTACAGCTGTTGCAAGTTATTAAAACGTTGGATGAGTTGAATACTTGCTTCCACCGCAGGCTGCTGTTCAAATACTTGAAAGTCATTATTCAAATCATCCAGCATTTGAATACTTGCAGCAATTGGGGAGCAGAGATGCAGTTGCTTTTCAATACAATGGACGCCAAAAAGGTAAGTATCTTAACACTTGTTTTACATTTACATTTTACCATTGTGTTGTTTAAGCATATAGCTCTAATCACCTTAAATGCAATACACTGCATTTGTTGGTGAAATGCACATAAAGTGATGCCTTGAGATGCCAATTAACAGCTAAACCTGAAACACCCAACTCTTCCACAGTCTAAACTTCTAAAACTGCTAAGGTAACAGCCAAATAGTTTACATCCAGTACATTTTTGCATTACACACTTCCTGTTTGAGGTGTCCACAGTGACTCTGCTGCACTAACATCCCAAACATGATGTCAGCCCTGTCCACTTATCCTCTGCTGAACAAGAGAACACATCCCTACTTCCTAATCTCTTTAACATAATGGAAAGGTGTTTTGTAGTCTAGAAGAGAAGACCTCAGGCAGGGCTGACACTACATTTTAATGTGGACCTTTCATTTGCCTATGAAGGCTAAAGCAGCCAGGTTCCGTTTAATTGACACTTGCCCAACAGCATATACTGACCTTCCTATTGCTGCCCTTACGACCAGCAACAAAGTAAAGTTCTGCAAAAGCTGCAGGTTGTAACATATGCAAGGCTTTGGATTCTTGTGCCATAAATAAGCTGATTTGTGCAAAGCACATATAGGCATCTTCTGGTGTCTGTTCCTAAGCCTAGCTGCCAAATAAAGTTCTGTTTACTTTGATGGTTACCTAATAGATCTGATTTAACAGTGGATGTCTGAATTCTACAAATGTTACAAAGACAAAACCTTTTTTGCCATGGATATTTTCAGTCATGTACAATTAAGAATGAATAGACATATATGCCATAAAATGTATCTTTACATTTGCTGGATAGTGATGCCTAAAATCTATAGCTACTTCATTATTTCACTACTAGTTCACTTTTCACCACCCTCTCAGACCTGTGTGTAAAGTTTACTTAGAGAAGCACCTGTGGGGCTCCTGCTCATGATTACAGGGGCAGAGGAAGTATGGTTCTCTTGGCTAGGCGACGGGCTGTAGACAAACACTTCCTGTTTGTAGGGTGATGCGGTCAATGGCTGGCTGCCCTGTGAAAAATGTTTGTAAAAATATATTTAGATAAAGCTGCATTCAACTAATTCAGTAATAGACAATTTATGAATAGGACCAGACTGCACAAATGATTACAATGAAAGTAAGTCATATGGATTGTTAACAAACAAAACCCATACCAGATGATTTATCAGGAAAAAACACGGAGTATCAGACAAAATGTTGAGAGAGCATGAAAAGTTTATTTCCTTCTAAAACATTAAAAGGATAAACCAACACATTTCTGGGATTTGATGGAAACATTCATCAAGGCTTAAAATTGCTGTTAGGAATCTGGATGATTGAATAGATTAAAAATTATAAAACATTATTATCTGCAGGCTCCAGCAGCTGATTACAAAAACATTTTAAACCCTGATGAAGGTGGGCAGTTAAAGCCCCACTTGCTTGTCCTTTTTGACATTTTATTATAAAATACAATCTCAATATTTGGCTCCTGTTTTTTCCTTGCATCTCTTGGATTCAGCCAAAGTGGCCCCTAGGGGACTCTTGATGTCTGTCAGCTGTCAACCAGAGCCCTTGTACACTTCAGTATGGTTTATATCTTGACAGTAAGGTCTGTCAGCTGCCAACCACAACACTTGTACACTTCTGTACGGCTTATATCTTGACAGTGAGGTTGATCTACATTTGGATCCAGTGCCTCCTATCTCTATCTCTTGGATTAAAACTGAAGTGTATGCCACTTTTATATCCTAAGGACATGGATAAAGCACTCTGTCACATCACTCATTTGCTGTGTGTTCTATAATTCAACATGCAGTATTGACTGAATCCAACTCTACTTGCATAAATGTGCATCTATGAAATGATTAGCTCCTTATAAAAAGTCAATATATGAATTATGAAAGTCCTTACTTCTCCAGTGCCAAGGGAGTTTCCAACACATTGTGGATACATGAAAACAATAAAACACACTATTCCACATAGCAACACAGAAGATCATATTTCCCAACTGGGAATAATAGTTGTACAATATTGTTGCTTTAGAAACATAGAGCTGTGTTAACTTGATGTCTTGACTTGTGTTAACGTGTAGCTAAAGGCAAACTTTTTTTTTTTGAGTTTTGGATAGAGTAGGGAAGGGTAAGATTCTCTGTGAACTTGTATTGCTTTCTGGGTTCCCACTGGGGAGATTCAGCCCACTTTTTGTCCTGGTGGCCACGGTGGCATCTTGCAATAGGAAAACTGTTCTGGTGACAAGAGGGGAGATCCACTCATTTTGGGTTGATCTCCTCTCACTTCCTGTTGTGTCTCCAGGGCAGAAAGTGAAACAAAATTTCCTCAACAGACAGCAGAAAAAAGAAAAAAAACAGCTATACATACACTTTGAGAGTCGATGGAAAGAAAATAAAGATGAAGGTTACCATATTGGCTGTACACAACTTGTGCTGTTAATAAATAAACCAATAGAAGTATATTTCATATGAGTAAATTCCATTATTCAGGCTTACAGATGGCCAATGAACAGCTAAAATGTTAAACATTTTCTCACTGTATTAATTTGATGTCTATTTACCCAACACACAGTCAGGTTAGCCTTAAGCTTAACTACCAGGACTATTTAATACACACCACACTTTCGTACTCCTCCATGGCTTCACTCTCTCCAGCTGTACTGCTGAAACTGCTTGTACTGGATGAAGAGCGAGAAATATTGGATCGGCCATTCTCTTTCAGTTTAATGTAGGGCCTAGAAAAAAGCAATGGTTTAAAGAAATATTAGCCAAGTTTAGTTATATTTTGAGGAAGTTGGTAAAACCGGGAAGATTTATAATAGCAGAAAATCATGGTTATGTTAACAGGTAAACATTTTTCAGCTCTTGTATTTAAAGTGTTTACATGTATTGTCATGTAATACTACATTATGGCCACTGGATACAGCTAAAGAGCATAGGAAAAAAATCCTCATTTCCTACGCTCCTTAGCTCCTACTAGTGGCAAAATGTAGTGTTACATGACTATACATTTGAACAGGAAAAAAATAAATTAAGAACATTTTTTGGTTGTCATTATTCAACCAAAAGGAATGATTAAAGATATCCACAGGGCAAAGAGCCATACAATTGTTTATAAATAGACCTCTTTAAGTTTGCATTAGAAACATGACACCCAGGATCCAATTTCTTGATATACTGTGCCTATCTTCTTAAAAAGATATGCAGAAAAAAACATATTAGAATAACTTTGAGTCTTGCCATCATTGTACTGTATTCAGATGTTTTCACGCATACATGCATGTAGTAATTACTTACCCAGAATACAAAGAAATATATCACTCCATGCAATACAGAGCTCCATGAGGAATCTTACACATATCTGCCATCATAACAAAGCAAAACACTATGTTCCTTTATCAAAGTTAATTTGCAAGAACTACAGTATAGATTGGGCGGTTGCCATTCCCATGGCAGAGCTTGCTGACAAATATAGGAATCTAGGGGAGCTAGTGCCGTGCAAATTTTATCTGCCCAGCTATATACCAGGTGGAACTTTTATAAATGAACCCCTATACCTCATTAACAAGGTTTTCTACAAACCATGCACTGGATCAAAATATTTTTTTTTAAAGAATCTAAATAGCAACACAAATATGTTATATTAAAGGTGCAGCTTTAGCTTTTAAGCAGCTACGGTACTATATTATGCATTAGAGAGAGAGGTTAAGAAATATTAGCTTTTTGCTTTTCTGTTTATTTTGTTTAGTTAATCTATGAAGGTTTAAGATGCATTTTCGAAGGGTGATAATTCTTGCCTTCATCTTAAATAAAGTGTACATCAAGGCACCAGAAACAAACATTAGAGAAATACCCAGTACTTGCTTGAAAAACTTTCACTTTAAAAATAAATTGCTTAAAAGAGAACTATGGGGTAAGTGATACTGTTGTGATCCACCCAACTGCATGAGTGACAGCTGGCTCTGCCTATCTAGAGACAGTGCCAGCTGTGCCCGCTCCCTCCCCCGCTCATTCCTCCACTCACCGCTGGAGGGTCGGAGAGGGAAGGGGGAATGCCTGCGGGGAGCGGTGACTGATAATCACAACTCACTGCAGGAAGATGATCGGGAAGTAAACGGATCGGCTGTATGTTTCTGCTCACTTCCTGATCAATAGAGCCGACTTGTGGCAGCTTCTTTGTCACAGGTCGGCTCTAACTATGAGGATGAGTGGAAATCACTCACCTCATAGTTCTCCTGTTCTAAAATCAGGTCACATGATCCCACATTGGTCTTCTTCATATTTCAAAAGTTGCAGCAGAGGAGTTACGTTTGCAGTAGAGATTCATGTTGGCAATATGTGATATAATCAAAAAGCACAGGGAGATTTGTTCTAGAATACACTTAATAGGCATGTCACGGGACATGAAATATTTTTTATTGGTAGGGGAGGAGGCACGGAGGCACTGATGTCACAAGCTATGGTGGTACCGGACGTGGTACAATCACCTTCATCTTATTGTAGCACCACCTCCATAGCCAAAAGGAGCAGCATTTAATGTCTACTATATCAAAAATTCAAGCTGCTGAGCAATGATGAGAAAGGTCAGGCACACTGATTAGGGCTAATGATTGCTACAAATGAAAATGATTTGCCCTGATTCCCATTTTAATTTTGTGTTGATTTGTGTTCATTTTTGTGTTGCTTTGTGTTCATGTTTGTGTTGACTTTACAAAGTATTATTAGCTACGACTTTGCATCTCCATCACAACATTGCACATACTGTACATTAATAAATATATATCAGTGAAATATATTACAAAAATGCAGGGAAGAGTTTCAAAGGTTGATCAGTTTGTATCCTTGCTTTCAGAATAACATCAGAACAACTGTGAAAATACATACATTTAGCAAAGGAAAAGTTATTTTGCTACAATGTAGTGTTTTAAACACTTTCCCTTACCTCTCTTTGTTGGTACATATCTCTGGAGAACTGGGATTCGATGAGGTTTCAGATTTTACATCCTGCGATGAATGTGCACAGTCTGGGGTTTTCGGAGAGCTGGACATGCTATCACTTTAAGCACAAAAAGAAAATATTAGAGTAATGAAGGTTAACACAATGGGGGTGATTTACAAACTGTCGTGTATCTGTTTGGATGGAGCATAGCTCCATTAAGTGGCCATAATGTGTGCTGTAAAACTCATTTGCAAACCTATTCGCTATGCAAACAGTTTAATAATCGCCTCCAAAAAAACTGAAAAGGATATTATTGGCCCTGCGGGTTTGATGGTGGCGGGTCACCAACCATATATGCTCTTACGTTCTATGCTCCTCAGCACCATCAAGTGGCCATAATGCAGTAATACATGGGAAAAAATGTAAATACAACCTAAAGAATGTTTGTTTTGGCATATAACCTCACAAAATGAACGTTCACAGATATTTGCAGGGTAAATGGCCCTGTTAGTTGCGTATAAACAGACTCTTATGCATTGCGTTAACACAAGCGTCTTTTATCGCATATTACAACAATGCAATACTGTGAATGGGGCCTAAAGGATTATTATACTTTATGAGCAATGTGTCAGACAGATACCTTAACTCTGTAAGGAGTGATGTTCTTACTAGCCATGCAGCAATGACATGTATAGACAGGAGAACAAGAACCTTTTACACTTTGCAAAAGTTCCCTTTTTAAAAGATAGAATCTAACATTTGAAAATGTCAAAGAAAAGAGCAACATTGAGCCTACACGAATCACATCTCTGCACAATGATACAGCATGAATTGGGTTTTATTTAAATAAGAACTTCAGGAATTGTTTTATTAACCCTTGCAGTGAGGCTACTCATCCAAATCTCCGATGTCTCTCCCCATCCTCTGAAGCGGTCTAAGGTCCTGTAAATTGTCACATTCTGTACACAGTGTATAGACGTGAAAACACTGTGGATAGGAAGAGGAAAATTACAATGCTGCAGGGAGGGGGAGACGGGTTGGAGGGAGCGATGTGACAGCTGGCCAGCTCGGGTGAGTATATCTTTGTTATTTTAGCATCTGGACACAGACGGGCACTTAACCCTTGCAGTGCGGGAGAATTCCTGGAGTTATTTTTTAACTTTGCCATGTAAAATGAGAATAAATATCTAATGTAAAAGGAGAACTGCAGCAAACTGTGTTCACCTGCGCTGTATCAGTAATGTGACCTAAACAACTATGGGGAGATAATGAGGTGTGTGCTGTAATACCTAGTAGGACATAGGCAGGTGTGTGCTGTAATACTGTCAGGTGTGTGCTGTAATTCTGCAACTACTACTATCATCAGGTGTGCTGTGATACTTTAAGTACTACTAGATACTCTAGTGTGTGCTGTAATACTGTAATTACTACTAAATAGTCTGGTGTGTGCTGTAATACTGCAACTACTACTAGATCGTCAGGTGTGTGCTGTAATACTGTAAGTACGACTAGGTAGTCTGATGTGTGCTGTAATCGTGTAACTACTAGATAGTCAGGTGTGTGCTGTAATACTAAAACTACTACTAGGTAGTCTGATGTGTGCTGTAATACTGTAGCTACTACTAGGTAGTCTGATGTGTGCTGCAATAGTGTAACTACTATTAGATTGTCTGGTGTGTGCTGTAATACTGTAACTACTACTAGATAGTCTGCTGTGTGCTGTAATACCTTAACTACTACATAGCCAGGTGTGTGCTGTAATACTTTAACTACTACATAGCCAGGTGTGTGCTGTAATAATATAACTACTACTAGATAATCAGGTGTGCTGTAATACTGTGACTACTACTAATTAATCTGGTGTATGCTGTAATACTATAACTACTACTAGATAGCCAGGTGTGTGTTGTAATACTGTAACTTATACTAGTTATTCTGCTGTGTGCTGTAATACTGTAACTGCTACTTGATAGTCTGGCATGTGCTGTAATACTGTAACTACATCGAGATAGCCAGGTGTGTTCTGTAATACCGCTACTACCACTAGATAGTCTGGTGAATGTTTTAATACTGTAACTACTACTAGATAGGTGTGTGCTGTAATAGCTACTAGGAGATGACCAGGAGTGTGCTTTAATAACTACTAGGAGAATGTAAGATGTTTGCTGCAAAAACTGCTACGAGATAGCCAGGGTGTGCTGTGATAACTACCAGGAAAGAAATAGCTGTATGCTGTAATTCCTACTGGGAGTTAGACAGGTTTGTGCTGTAATAACTACTACTAAATAGTCAGGCTTATGCCGTATTAACCACTAGGAGATAGTCAGGTGCGTGCTATAATAACTACTAGGAGATAGCCAGTTGCCTGCAGTAATAACTAATGAAAGATAACTAGGTGTGTGCTAATATTATTGAGGAATAGTGAGGTGTGTGCTGTAATGAATACTAGGAAATAGCCACGTCTGTATTGTAATACCTACCCGGAGTAATTAGATGTGTGCTATGATAAATACTAGGAAATAGCCAGGTGTGTGCTGTAATAATTACTGAGAGTAAATTAGGTGCCACGTGGTAATTATTACTGCTACTTAGGTTTCTTTCAGCACAGGTTTCCTACAAAGAGTAATATGTAGGGTGCTTTTGCTAACCTCAATCTGAAAATGATAATTTCCTGTCTGTCTCTAGCTTTAATACTCTTGAGTTGTATGTTTATTCTGAGTCAATGATTCAGAAAATGCTAAAGCCATTGACCCACCATGGCAGCCAGACAATTGGCTTTTTCTCAGGAGAGATCAACAATGGTAGCCCACATATTTCTCTGTAAACTGTTAATTCTATATACTTACCTCTTGTCATCTATTTTCTATACAGATAAAACACCTCAATCCAATTTAAGCCTCTGTCCTTATTTGCCACTTGGTGAACTTAATGACGGAATGAACATGTAGTAAATTCAGAGTCATAACATTTTCTTACCAGCGAGTCCGGCTCTCGGATTGGGTTTCAGGCCCTGTGTGCAGTCGAGGGAAGAGACCTGATCTCCTTTTTATGGGGCTTTTGGACTGTGTCTTAGTCACAACGGCAGGAGGCTGTAAAACACATTTACAAGAAAACAAGGCATATTAACTGAAAGCAATACATATTCTGTAACATTCATCCATAAAAATGTGTTGTTCATGACAGCCAAAAAAAGAATTTGCTATTTATTGTTTAAAAAGTAACACTTCAGTTATTTATGACCACTGAAGATGGTTTATCCATAATACGTGCCATTTTATCTTTTGTAAATGGTCAAATATAAACAGGCATATTGTCACATTTATTATGAAAAATATGTACTTGTTATTTGCTAACCACATTAAAAAGTGGGATCTCATGTATTACTTTAGCCAATAACCCTACCCTCCTTAACTCCAGTTATCCCAAAAGGACATACAGTATGGGGTGTATTTATAAAAGATTTGCACACCCATTTATCCTGCCAAACTGCATCTGCATTCATTCTGTGTGAATGGGGCAAAAGCCAATGTTATTAGTATATTTATTTTCTAGGTTGAGTGTAATTCATTTAGAAAAATACCACATTATGGCCACTAGATAGAGCAGATGGACATAGGAAAAAATACTTATTGCCTGTGATCTTTAGCTCCATCTAGTGGCCATAATGTGGTATTTTCATGATTCACTTTAATCACATATATTACATTCAACATGGAAAGAAGATATACTAATAACATCAGTTTCTGGCCCATTAACATAGAACAGGATATATATGCAGTTTTGCAGGATAAATAGCTCTACAAATTGTTTATATACAGTATACTTCCTATGCGTTAACCAATATTCTTTTCTTTTCTAAGAAAGCCAATTCCTATCCTGTCACCTGTATGTGATGAAATCACTGGGCTTTGAGGGAAGGTGCAGGACTGTGTGGTGTGACTGTGTGGTGCTCTGAACTGTCTGCAGTGTCACACCTGCCTTATGTATTAAAAGTCAGGTCACACTTTCAGACATGAAGGTAACTGCGGTTAAAGCTAAACTCTAAACAGATATAAAAGACAAATTCTGCTTTGTATTCATAAATATATAATTGGATATTTTTTTTTTTTAATGCAAGCAGTATTAGAACAAATTTTTGACTTGATATTAGCGTCTTGCAGTCCCTGTACAAAATGATGGAATAGGAAGAAGCAGCACAGGGGATAATCAGTTAATGTGCTGCAGTGCTCATATATTACCAATTAGCTAATCAGTTCATGTGCTACAGTGCTAATATACTATCAAGGAACATGCTGATAGGATAAGACTGAAGAGTGACAGAGAGTTGAGCTCATCTCTGTGCTGGTTCTCTTTTACTGTGCAGTCACGGGCAGTGCGCAGGTCCATGACTGCCTGAGCTTAGAGGAAGTGCACTAAATGATTGTGGTCATCATTAAACATGGAACACTGAGGACATCTAGTGGCAGAAAAGATGTATTGCTTTGAATTAAATGTAAGTATTGCAGTGAAAGTGCTGCAATAATCATTTTGACTAGAGTTCTGCTTTAAAGCACAACTCCAGGGAAAACTATTACTAACCCTTGCAGTGGACCTGCAAGGGTTAATCATTTTTCCCAGGGATCATCTATAAGCAAATATCGTAACAAGTTGGCCAGTTCTAAGATAAGACACAAAACAGATGCATTAGGAGTGACTGTGAGCTGTTCTCATTACCATTAGTGATTGCTTTGTTTTGTTCTGGGCTAAAGAATAATTTCTAATTTGGCTTTCATTACAAACCTCCAATAGATGTCTCTGGGAGGTATCACTTTATCTTTCTGTTGTTTTCTAGAGCCAAATGACTAAAGAAAAACATTTCTATAGCTTCTAATTTCAATGCTGTTTAGATGTCTCAATATATTCAATTACAAGATTTCCCAAAACAGGCATTCACAGTCCTTTGATGGCTATGCCAGGTTTACACAAATAGGTGTAGTTTTTTTTTTAACACCTGGCATGGTTGGAATAGTTAGACAGTTTAATGCCAAATATAATTTTGTGCCCAATTTTAGAAGAACACATGATTAGAAGTACCTGGCTTAGGAGTACAGTGCAATGTGTATATTTCCCTGCATTAGGGATGAGCTTATTGTTGCACCAAGCATGAAAGCTACAGGGGTTTCCCAATCAGCATCCCCACTTTACAGCTGACCATAAATGAAGGGGTGGGATCCTTGTGGTGACATAATTTACCCTATATAGCCACATGACCATATTAGGCAATTGTTATTACGTAATATTTAGCCATATAGGGTCAATGATGTCACTGCACCCCGCCCTTTTGCTTACTTCAAGCTGACTGGATAGCACGGAAGGAGCCTTCTACCTTGGGTTTAAACCTGAGCTCTTACCCGGTGAAAGTGAAAGTATGGAGTACTCTGCATGCTCTCACCAGGATGAGGTTCCTTCTAAAAAGGAGTGGCAGGGTCTGTATTAGGATGGGTGTCATTTGGTATGAGCCACCCCACATACACCGCCTCCCTGTCTTACTTTTGTAGGCACCTTAAAGAAGTATTAAACTCTCAAACTTTTTTTCAATAATGATTCCAGATCAAACAAATATACATTGCCCATCAGTTACAATCATCATATTTCTGAACAGCTGCTTCCAAGTCACTCAGCTCAGCTTCCATGAACTTCCTGTGTTTGTGGAGACACCCACATCTTACTAGCACACACAAGGGTGACTGCATAGCACTCTGCTTCAGAAAGGAGTCACTCTAAAACAGGAAGTCAGGACCAGTGCCCAGGAGACCAGCTGATTCTGCAGGAAACTAAAACTTTGTAAGCATCAAGGAGCAGCATCCATTGTCAGTGATTTCATCAGCATTTGAAACAGCTTAAATCCTTTTGACTTTAATATCACTTTAAAGTGTATGTCCAGTTTTGGATAAAGTGGGGATCTGTTATAGAGATTTTCCCTCTCTTACTGTCCTAAGGAAGTGAGGAAAAAAATCTAAGTCAGCAAAAGAATCAAGAAGGCTAGAACCACAACCAGCTTTGTTTCCCTGTCTGTGAGCCTGTTACATATTTGTCCCTACTTCCGGTCACTCACTTCAGTAGTTTTACCAGACATCTGGCTTGTTAAAACTATTGTTACTCTAACAGTGAGTGAAGGGAAATAGAGCGCCAGATAAAAGAAAAACCCAAGAGTTTTATAATCCTTCCCCGCTATCCAAAACTAGAAAAAAGATGGGCTAGATTTTAAAAAACAACTCAAGAATGTTATTAACCCTTGCAGTGGGGAGAGAGGTTCCAGGGATCAGTCTAAGAGCAAGCCGTTTTGGAGGATCATCAGGTGAGTCATTTTTTTTATTTTCGAGCCTAAACAAAAATGAGCATTTTTTTTTTAACCCTAGCAGTGCAGGAGCAGCCCCACTTAAAGGGTTATTGATTTTTTTACCCTGAGTTCTTCTTTCATTAACACCTGGCTGGGCAATAAGCAGAAAACAGTGCCATATTGGTATGAAGAAAACCAAATCTATTTGGCCCTAGTACTACCAATACACATCACTACATTCGTTTCTCACAAGAATAACAAGAAGAAACAAAAACAACATCATAAAAAGCAATTGTAATGGGAAATCTTACAGAGAAGGTGGTTTTTGTCATCTCAGCACTTGTATGCACAATGCCTCCGCTCAGGCTTCCAGATATCCCCCCTGACTGATGCTTTTTCTGGCTTCCCACCATGGTTTCCATGGAATGACTGCGTACTCGGATAGCTCTCTTGGAAAAGAAAAGATAGAAAATAAAACCACTCTATTTTATTTGGTGTTTGTGTTAACTAATAATGCAACTTGATTAAAAAGACAACAGATTACTCTGAATAAATATGAATCTTAAAACATGGCTTACATATTTCAAGGGTCCAGTCATCCAAAATTAATATTTTGTTTTTGGTCAATGCAAGAAAGTTAGATCCATTAACCTTTTCCTATTTCTTATGCAAAGGACTACGGTAGGGAGATGTTTGTGCTTGAGCTGCCTGTTACAGGGTCCCTATTGGAATCTTAATTGCTATATATTATAGAGGAGGTATAAAAAAAGTGAAAAAACACACTGCAGTTTACATGAATTTTCACAACTCCAACATGGCAATGGCAGAACCAGAAACCATGGCAGGAAAGACACCAGAGTTCCCAAGAGATATAAAAAGCCAACAATTAATTCAGTCCACAGGACTCATCATATATTGAAATATTACTGTTGCATGAGCCCAGCCACAGGTTAGCAGAGGTAAACTCAACTGGCTTCTCATAAGTGGACAAATCTCTCACCAAGACAAAAGAGGGGCCCTGTCTCAAAACAACCCCACACCTGCATTAAAGTGATATTAAAGTCAAAAAGGTTTTAAGCTATTTCAAATGCTGATAAAATCACTTACAATGGATGCTGCTTCTTGATATGTAAAAGTTTTAGTTTCCTGCAGAATCAGCTGTTCCCCTGAGCACTGGCCCTGATATCCTATTTTAGGGTGGCTCCTTTCCCTTACAGGGTCCGATGGACCCACCCTTGTGTGTGCGCTAGTAAGCTGTGTGTCTCTCTATAAACATGCAAGCACATGAGGGCAAATTGCTTTCCTGCTCCCCGCTCTTCCCTTCTCCGAAGTAGTAAATGAACAACTGCTGGAGTTTGTGCTCTCCCTTGGGATCTTCTACTGCACAGAAAATTCAGGGAAGCCAAGCTGAGAAAGTTGGAGTCACAAACATGATTACTGTAAGTGCTTGGGCAAACAGAATAGTATAGTAGGCATTTGCAAGCTTCTCTCTCAATTTCCAAGTAACAGGGAACTCTGGCTGACCCCATAAAAAGACAAGGGACAGACTGAGCTTCCCCTCATTAACATAAAATGCTTCTAGAGCTATAACCCTTTGCTAAGATACAGTGTTCAAATCATGTTTGCAACTGATAATGAGATCTGCCAGCACAGTACAGATGGTAAATTATGGTCTGGTATCTCCTAACCCCCCTTGCATTGCAAAAAATTAAGTTTAGAAAAAACTTTTCTTCCAGACCAGAGCGAGTAATATGTTATCCTGATTTGGCTGCAAATTTGGAAATACACTTCAACTTGGAAAATGTTTGGCAGTGATGAAGTCCGATCTGGCCTGCCTGTCAGTTTTTCAGGGGGACCTGATTGGATGCCTAATGTAAGTCTATGGGCAGCTCGATCTAAACGGACGAGTGTCAGTTTACATCCGGTTGCTCTCGGCTCCGGCCAGCTCCAGAAAAAAATAAAAAATAAATAAATGGAACAGTGTTCCATTTCGCCAGACCTGATCGTGGTGGATCGGGGGTAATCTGATGTAAATGGATACATGTCCATTTACATCCGATTCCCCATAGACCATATTGGGATCCGGTAATGTCAGTTTTTTCCTCCATCGCAAAAAACTGGATAGACACGGATGTCACAGCGCTGACATCTGAGCCATACCGCTCCAATCAGCATGAGATCTGTGCACATTGTTTATTGTCCTGTAAACTTTACCCATTACACTGTTTGGTTACACTGGAAAGCAGGGCCGGCCTTAGGCCTTTAGGCGCCCTGTGCGAGAAAGCTTTACAGCGCCCCTCAGTGACCAACCCCTCAGTGGCCACACCCTTTAGTGGCCACACCCCCAGTAACCACACCCATTTATTACCCATATTTTTGGTAAAATATAAAAAGCGGGGTCACGTCGGGTAAACAGAAACCAAACATATCATGCTTTAAAATTGCGTGCACCCGCGAAATCGCAAAAAATTACCATGCACCAATTGACCATAGGTGACGCTTTAAAAGCTTTTACCCCTCATCAGTTTAGTGTTATCAGTGATTGATGGCCCTACAATTATTGCTCTCATTCCGACGTTCACGGCGATATGTAACATGTGCGGCGTAATGGGCGAAATCGCTTTAAACTTTAAAAAGGGGACTTTAAAAAATAATGTAATTCTTTTTTATTTGTAACTTTACATTTTTGGGGGGGAAACTTTATTGCTATCACATAGGGGGGTTAGAAAACCAGTGGAAAGCTCAAATTTGTTACACTGCTTGTGAATATTGGCCAGCTGCAGACAGGTTAATGAATGCCGTATTGGTTGCCACAGATTTCTTTAAACCACTGGTCTTATTCAAAAAAGTATTTTTTTTTATCACTTGTAGCCAGCTAAACATGTGCTGAAATACCTGCAGCTAAAAATCCCGGTTTTAACACAGAAAACTAGACATGTGTTTAGCTGCATAGGGGTGTGCAAAGAGTTGGCTGGCAATATGTTCTAATCAGTGGGTCTGTTCTCCAGTACCATCCATTTTTATTTATTTTGTTTTAAATATTTATCAGCTATTGGTCAAGAGTGCTTTTACATAAACAGTCTGCTAGCCTCAATTACTTCAAGCTTTGTTTTCACAATTAATTATTAAAGTTAATATATGCATGAACAGAAAGAGCATTTTTTTTCATTAATTCTGCTTATTATGCCAATACAGAGGCTGGAATAAATGACTGCCTGAGTACAATTTTACATAGCTGGCATTTCACAAACATAAATGCATGGCATTAAGGAAAATGTACTGGTATTTATGAAAGAGATGGATCATACCCAGATGCTTGATTCAGCATTTACTGACATGGGTCTGTGCAGCAGATGAGAGAACACATTTGTTCATTACTAAAGTTTTTCAGAATATGAAATTCTGCATTGCATTTGTTGTATGTGTGTAATGGGAAGCTTGTAAGCATAGTGTCTATAGTTTTCAAGGTATTCACAAACAATTTCTAAAAATGTAATGTGAATCCATTTCTTCATGAAACTTGCTAAATACTGCACATAGGTACAGGCAGGACCAGATTCCCCACAAGACCACCAAGGCCATGGCCTTGAGGTGACAGGGAGTAGAGGGGCGAGCTCTACTCCCTGAGCTCCAGCCTAAAGGAAGGATTAATAAGGTCTGCTCCAGACCTTAGTAATCAAACACTGGATTGCCAGGGATTGTGCAGGTGATGGGGCTCTTTTATATTATCTGAGAGGGATGAGGAGGGGGGGGTTAAGATTATCTGAGGGGGGTGAGGAGGGGGGGGGGGCAAGGGTAGGGAAGTAATACTCTGCATTTTTTTGTGTGTGTGTACGTGTCTGTGTGTGGGGGGATTTTTCTGTGTGTGTTTTAGGCCCCATTCACACCTGTAAGTTAAAGTGTGATTATGGTTTCCTGCATCAGGCATTTACAAGCGGCAACTGTCACCCGTTCAAGTTTATGATCAGGTGACAGCTGCTGCATGTATGCACGCATGTTAGAAAAACAACAAAGAACTCTTTGCGCTTATAGATAACCTTTAAATAAGCCATCGTGACAACCGCAGTGAAAAGAGAAGAACAGCTTTAATAAGCACCTCCAAAATGTGAATGTGAATAAGCACTGCAACTCCAACACTATCTAAATATCCATTAGTGTTGTAAGAATACCACCTCTATGATATCAAAAATGCAATATGAAATACAAATAAAAAGACCTCATAAATAGTGAAATAATACAAAGTATTAAAACTCTGTTGCAACTAAAATAAAGTTCATAATCTGTTGCAGCTTCTCCTCATAAACTCCGACTTCAGACCATACCCCGTGTTCCACCTCTGTGTATTCAATCTGAATCCATTATCACACCTAAACTTACAGGTGTGAATGGGGCCTTATTGTGTGTGTGTATTTAGGGCCTGTTCACACGACGTCCGTTTTCTGTGCTGACCTGATCCGTACGCTCCTGCACTAAAAATGCATCCCAATGTATCCCTATGTGTTTTATGGGCTACAGTTCTCACGTGGGCCATCGGTTCAGGTTACGACAGAAAAATACTGCATGTCACATTTTGTACGGTCAGGAAACGGTCAGGAAACGCAAAACGCGTCAAAAACGCACTGAAGTGCAGCTAACATACTGACAGCCCCACTCCAGCAAAAAAAAAGTTTAAAAAAAAAACTGGAACGCATCAAAAATGCGGCAAAAACACATAGCACCGCGTCTGCAGATCCGCACCTGTTCCGGACCTGAAACTCATGTGAACAGGCCCTTAGCGTGTGTATTTCTGATTGTGGGTGTATTATTGCGTGTGTGTCTGTGTGCATATTTCTCTGTGTGCGTATTTCTGTCTGTGTGCATATTTCTTTGTGTGGGTGTATATGTGTATTTTTTCCTTTAATCACTGTGGAGGTGATAGAGATCTGATGGGATCTATTTACTATACTGACAAGCTGTCAGTAAGCAAGTGGCTACCTTAAATAAATCCATGTGCATCACCTGCAGCTCCACAGTGATTAAAGGCTTTAACGCAGCAAAAGATGCTGATGTTTCCATGCAGCGTTTAAGCAAGGAGTAGAGGGGCTCACTCGATACTGTTACCCCTACCCTAAGCATTGGACACATTTTCTCTGCTTTCGACAGCAATGAGTTGAATACACATCTCTGGCAATATATTTTAACCCTAAGCAATCTCCCAAGAAAGCTTTCATATTTTGCCTGCACAAACCATTTAACCAAACCGTACTGCCACTGAACAGATCCAAATTAGCTTTCTGTGATTTAGAGAACAACATATTGCATTTTAACACCCTATTTGTCTAAAATCAAAATATAATTAAAAGTGGCCTTGCAAGGAAGTCAGCACTCCCAAGCAATTAAAGAGTGCCTAGTGTATTATTACAAGTCAAATGCCTTGCCAGATAGCCATGCCAGCCAAAGTGATCTGCCAAAGCGGCTCAGTTACTGAAGTGGGGGGGGGGGGGGTTAAAAACTGATCAAACTTGAAGGATGTTGTTTGAAATTTAAACACTGCTAAAAATCAGAGCTGTACACTTTAATTAACCATTCTGCAGATTTTAGTATGCACAATAAATGTCGGGACTGGCAGGGATCCCAGTATTTGAAAATGCCATCTGGTCATGAGATGTCAATTAGAGAAAGCACTCTATATATATGTTCGTGTTTAATGGGAAACATTTCTTATTTCAATTCATTGCTCTATTTAGAAGAAAAATGGATCAGAAATTGAAAGCATACATGCAATATATACATTTATGTATTAGTTTTTTATTTCTTTTAAATAAATGCAAATCCACTTTTTTCATGAACAAATAAATAATGCTTATGTCATTTATACTTGCCTTGACCCAGGAATGACTGAAAATGTGCGTAGGTGAAAAGCAAAACTTTTGACATTTGGGTGTAACATCTCTCATACTAAACCAAGCCTTGTTACACTTCTTATGGCTCTAGTTGCAGTTTAAACACCAACTTTAGCCAAGACTTTTCTTGTTATGGGTGGTGGGGAAGGGTTAAATGCTGCTTGTTCCCCACATAAAGGACATTCCTCTTCTCTTCGGGTTCTGTCTCTACTTCCATTGTGCAACTGAGTCATATAACTGTTGGAAACTATTTGCTATGGAATCCTCCCACTGCCTGCTATCAGTAGCAGAGTAGACCTGATGGGGAACTAGTCCATCAGCAACCCCATCAGGCTCCACTCACTGTTAACGTCACTGGTGGTTAAGGAGCATCCTTAACAGCCAATGATGTTGACAGCAGGCATAGCCTGATGGCGAACTCTGAGATCCTAGTTCCAAGTAAGGTCAAATCTGATACTGATTAACAGCAGGCAGAGAGTGGATTCCATAATCAATAGCAGGTTGGCTAATAACTAAGCATTCTACCCACTGCCTTCTATCAAATAGGCTCCCCAAGCCCACCATCAGGCTTATTCCACTGTCAGTGTCATTGATTTCCAACAGCGTCTTAGCAACCAGTAACTCATCCCACAGATTCTTTGTAATGAGCACAGAACAGGTCAAGAAGCAACAGATCAGCAGATTAAATATTTTTTTTCCAATGTTATTCTACCAAGAAATTAAGAAGAGCAAAGCCCAACAGAAACCCAACCCAAACGCAAGCTTTAGTCAGGACCGCAGATTTAAACTCTTTGGGTCCTTTACCGCTGATCCCATGGCAAATCTTTAGTAATGCTTTGTTTTAAAATTATCACTGGTCTAACTGAAAAAATATATATTTTCGGTTTTGTAAATATCTTTTTATCTTTAAAATATACAGAAATGTAAACCTTTGTAAAGACAATAACATCAAAGGAAGGCATTGTCTGTCCCATAAAAACAATGTATGCTTTACTTCTATAGCCGCATGTAATGTAATTACTAAATTAATAGGCCTATAGATGTTTTGCAGAAATGCTTTTGGAGTTTCACTGGTTAAATTTCCGAATCTTACTTTAAATGACTCCAGAAATCCTCCATGAGCTCCATTCTCCAGTTTGTCTTCTTCTGGCCCAAGACCAAGCATGGCCTGCGTGTGCACATGAAGGTCATCATGCAGATTGTCCAATAGGGCAGCTCTTGTCCGATCCTAAATAAAAAAAGATATGTGTGAAAACAAGATATCCCTTTCCCCTAAGTGGGGATATATATACTGTATGTAACATATTTCAGAACTGTTTTCTGTAATAAGTATCACACATCTCATCAATCTTGTAATCAGTCAGAGGAGAGCAGAAGGAAAGAAAGAGCAGCATGTCAAAGGAAACACTTATAAGACAATGTAAATGGCAAAGACCCAAGGAAAATTTTCAAAGATATAAAAGCTGAACTCCAAGGTCATGGTACACCAGTGTCTGATCACACCATCTACAGACGATCACGAGAAGAAGTCACCAGCACCCAGTACTTGAAGATGCAAAAGTATGCTCTGCTTATTAATAATACTTCACATCAGTCAAATGGGCCAATATACGCACGCACACACACGGACCTAAGGCCTCATTCACACTGCTTAGAGTTGGCCCATACACATCCTCCGCCCACCTCAGCTGCCATAGGCTGGGAGGAAGACTGCAGAGCTGCTACTGGCTGGAAGGACAGCACGGGAGAAGCAGGACACCTGGGACATGGAGGATACATTGCTTTGTTCTGCATTACACTGCTGTCCTCTGTACTCTGCATCACACCACTGGCCTCTGCACTCTGCATTGTTACTGATCTCTGTTCTCTGTGTCACACCACTGACCTGGCGGAGTTAAGGCCGAGGCAGGGTAGGGGTCAGGTGGGGCGACTGGTGGCGAGTAACTCTTAAGGCCTGGCTAGTAGCTCAGGACTTGAAATTTTGAGCCCTGATAAACCTTTTATATGATGCGTCAGTCCCAGGGCATCCAATTGTCATGGCAACCCTCTAAGAGGAAGGATTATGGCTAACCTTGTAAAAACCCACCCAGTGCATTGGGTGGGTAAGAGTGCGCCAATCTGTGCAGAGGAATGCACATGCACCAGAGCTGACAAAGCACCAGTCTGCATCCAAGTAATATGCATGTTCTGAAACCATTCTCACTGCACATGCCCATACATAGCAAAGCCTTTGCCAAGGGACAGGCGGTACATGAAGGGACTGTGCTACTGATAATGTTCCACTCCCTGGGCGGAACAAGGGGCTGAGTGGAGAGGGGGAAGAGAAGGGGGGAGGAAATGAAGATTTTAAAGAAAATAATACTGTACCTACTGTGAAACATGGAGGAGGCTTGCTTATGTACTGTATAGGGCTGGTTTGCTGTGACTGGAAATGGGCGCCTTGAATCTGTGCAGTAAGTACTATCCTTGTCGCACTCCTTACCGAAATATCCCATGTAGTGGGAGGTGATTGCAGTGACTGCGGATGGTGCTGCAAATGTCAGCAAAATTGAAGAAATGTCACCAGCACACCAGTCCTTTTAGGATAGCAAAAGCTTAATTTATTGAAGTTTTTTGTCATATGACCAACAGGTGCTTTTGGGACCCCACAGGGTCCCTTCATCAGGCTTTAGCATCGACCAATGCTAAAGCCTGATGAAGGGACCCTGTGTGGTCCCGAAAGTGCTTGTTGGTCATATGACAAAAAACTTCAATAAATTAAGCTTTTGCCATCATAAAAGGACTGGTGTGCTGGTGACATTTCTACAATTTTGAATCTGTCCAGGGCACAGTGAAATCTCAAAGCTATTAGGGAATTCTAGAGCAAAATGTATTGCCCATTGTCAGAAAATTCTGTGTTAATTGCAGGTCATGGGTCCTCCAACAGGATAATGACCCAAAACAAACATTTAAAAGTACCTTAAAGCACCAAAACATAGGACTATTCTGAAGTGGCCTTCTATAATCCCTGAACTAATCCTTTTAAACATCTATAGAAAGAGCAGAAACAACATGCAGTCTGGAGAATTGTTCAAACCTGAGGCAGGTGGAGCAGTTTGCTCAAGAAGGGTGGGTCAAACTACCTGTTGGTAGGTACAGAAGTCTCATTGAGAGGTACAGAAATGGCTCGATTGCCTCTAAAGGTACCAACAAGTTTGTGCACGTTTGTATGTGCATTATACAATGATAATTTGAGCAAGTATATTTTAAATACATATTTATCAAATGTAATCAACTATATGTTCTAATGAATTACTTACTCAAGAACAAAAATTTAATATACTACAGCTCACCTGTCTGTAGATGAGATGTCTGCATTAGTTTTCTTTTTTCTGGCTCATTTTAAGTTTTTTTCACCTGGTGATCCTGCCAGTAACACTTTCTGTCCTAGGGGCAACACTGACTCACTGTACTGAGTCTATGGAGGAGCAGCATTTTCACCCTAGTGCTTGACTATAGGACACTCCCTTTGACAAAACATGGGGGGAGGTATTCTCCAGTCCACAGAGAGCTGGTAATACCAATACCAACTGAAATCAGTCAGCAGAGGCAAAGAGCACAGGTTATCGTCAAGTTATCAGCTCCCAAAAGTTCTGGCAGGATCAACCGGTATTTTTTATTGAACAGATAAAACAATTTCAAAGGCATATTTAACAGTCTAAGTGAATATCAAAACACCTCACTTTCTATTAATTGCCTCTGTATACAACAGCTTCACAGTCCACTCCAAGATCAAACAGTAACAATAGTATGGCTGCCAAATGGGACTTAATAAAAGAAGTCCATTGTTAAAAGTTACATACACTTTAAGCTTTTGCTTACCTCAAGCTTGGCAAACTTGTCAGACTTGCAGCAAGCATGTTCAGCATTAATGAGTTTGGTCAGCAAAAACTCTCGGAACTCTGCGTTCTATACAAATAAATCAATCAATAAATATACACAATTAGTTATTAGACACGCAGTTAGATATTAACTTCAGTAGTAATATGCTTTCATATAAATGTTATGGCTGGTGAACCACCCATGTGTATGATGCAATAATCAGCATTTTAGGCACCTTTCTGCTGTGAAATACCAATTTGTATTCAAATAAATGCAAACCTGTAATGCTGCTTGTAAAAAACATTGTGATAATTTTACCTCTTTTAATTCCACGCTAGAACAGGTAATTATTTTATCTGTTTTATATAATTTCATACAAAGGTTCAGTATTGCTACTGTTACTGTAATGTTACATAGCAGTGCCATTTATTCATTTTTATCTTTTATCTACTTTCAGTGCCCTCATTAGGGAGATTTCTTCTCAGTTCCTATCCCACACAAAGAGCAGGAAGTGAGAGAACATCTCTACAGTTCTGGTAAATCCTGCCTTTGACCCTGATAAGAAGAACAGGTGACCCCATTAAATGATTTCTCCCCTACTCCTTTTCCAGTGGCAATCATACTGTTTCCTTTCACTTCCTAGCACATGATAACAGGGTCAGGAACAGCAAATGAGCGAATCTCCCAAACTGTGTCATGGGAACCTTCCCAAGATGCCCCTCAGGCGGCGCATAGTGTAGGGACACCCCTGACTAACTCTTTCATCCATTCTGTAAAATGTTGGGTTTATATTGAGAGGGTAGTATAAAATAAAAGGAAGTAGTGAAAAATGGTAAAAGTTGGTTTAACCAATCATTTTTGGTGTGTTTGTTCTTTATGGTCTGACTAACTGCAGATCTAAAGAGTGTGCCAGGGCTGTGTCCTTTGTCTACAAACTTTGTGTTACAAGGTGTCCCCGCTTTATCATCTCATGATGTCACAATTGTGTCCTGCAGTGACTTAGGAGTTTGTGGGTAAACCACAGAGTGCAGAGGGGGACCAGCAGTGCTGGATATAGGAGATGCGTTGAGATTCTGCAGGCAGCGGTATGCTTTTAACAGGATGGTGACCATCAGTGCAGGCAGCAGGACAAGTAACTATTAACACAGGGGAGCATGTTCTTTTAGAGGGAATTGTCAATAATGTTTACAGAGTGATATAGTCACTTCCTAGCTCTTCTAGCAGAATCAGGGTGCATAGGACTATCAATGGCTTTACAATGATTATGACAGCTGGACTCAGCTGAATGTTGCCTGTGATAGAACACTAAAGCTTTAAATCGTTGAAATACAGGATCTAGTTGCAAGTTTTTATAACACATGTATATATCTCAGGTATTATTTTTATCTATAAAAAAACATGATCCTAATAGGGAATTTTTCAGTACATACTGCATCAGTAGGTTTCATGGCTATCATAATAATAATAAAGTGGGCGTAGGAAAAAACACATTTGGTATTCAGATCTCTCAGCACCTTCTTCATCTCTCTCGGGCCAGCGGGGCATCTTAGCTGATGCGCTGACGCATTTACAGCAGCTCAGGGAAAATTATGACTAATATTTTGACTGTAAAAAGCTGGCACTGATTCTTTTTCCAAATGATGGTCTGCCCTCCTGCTGAGCAGCCAGCAAAGGACTGAGGGGACAGATTTGTTCATTTTATTGAGTCATTCCCTGCTTGATTGTCTGAGTCATCGCTAGGTAGCTGCAGGCTGGTTGACAGGTGTCTGTGCTAAAAGGGATTACATGAGAAAATGTGTTTCTGGGTAGGAAAGGAACACTGTGAATATAACCCACCTTGTTTGCAGTGCAAACCACAAATGTACAGTAATAGCGGATCAGTTTCGCTGCATGTCTCACACAGATTTGTTCTATTGATTCCTGTCACTCTAAATAGGTTTATCATTATAAGTCATGATGCCTTAACCTTTAATTAAGTGCTAAAAAAATCATATATTTAGTGCAATCAAATTCCAGACTGGAATGATATACTGGAAAAATGTACAGCCCAGTTATCCAAGTCATCGGGGGTGATTTACTAACCTAAACGCACGCACTAGGTGCGTGTGATTTTTACACAGCAAAGCGTATTTAACGTTTGAGAAAGTGATAGTTCAGTGGATAGTTTGAGGTGGGATAAGCTTCCCTGAAGAGATGAGTCTTAAGGGATCGCCTAAAGGCAGTCAGAGTGGGAGATAATCGGACAGGGTGGGGGTAAATTGGGTGTGTACACACTACAAAGGTGTTTAGATTCCACCCATAGATCATGCTGGGAGGGAACACACTACAGAGGTGTATACATGTCCGTGGTGTGTTTATAAGGTTAGTAAATCAACCCCATCGAGTCATGGCACCACAGCATTGCCATGCAGAATAGGTATTATGCTGTGACCACTCTAGACTGATTTCTCCAGGTTTTACTGATTTATGGCAGAATGTTTACACTGGGTCAATTAAACGGCTAAAGAACAAAAGACAATTGTAAATTGAACACGCTCAAATTGGACTAGTTAGCAGTGGTAAACCATTTTGTAGGGGGTGAGACCTGATCTTTCTCTGCTGCAGTCACTCAAACGTCCCACCCCCACCTTCTAACTGGATATTAAAAGGAGAAGCAGCAGACTATTGCGCTAGTTTCTCTGTCACTCTCTCCTTCTTTCAGCATGGCTACTTGCATTGCAGCACACCTGCCTGGCCCCTTTTTTTTTTCTCCCTCCTCTTATCTGAGCTCTGTTGTATAGACTGTACAGTGGATTGACATGGGCTAATTCACGTCAAATTCACATACTTACACTTAAAAATATATTTAATAATGTATAATAATAATTATAGTATGAATTATTTGCACCTTTTATATTTGGGCCTGGTGGATGAACTAGAAAATAATTATGGAATTTCTGGAGAAAGCTTTAAATTAGGTTGAATATTTAAACTTGTAAGAGCATAGACATAATACAGAAGAATCTTAATAAAATGGCGACATGGGCAGTTAAACATTTAATTAAATGTAATATGGAGTAAAAATTTAAGAATATACACCAAGGTCATTGTAATATCACAACCACTCCCAGTACATTAAATGGAATATAGCTGGACAAAAACATAGCCTTGGGTAGCAATGACCTAAGGAACTCCACTCAATGTATATCAAGTGGTAGCTGCAAAAGCAAGCAAATATTTAGGTTTATAATGTAAAAAAGGAAAGTAGAAACTAGTATACCGTAGTAATGCCCATGCATTTATCATTTGTAAAACCTCATCTAGAATATGTTTGTTTTCATCTAGAAAATGGGAGTATGGTTTTTGGCACCACATTGTAAAAAAGGGATAGGTGTTAGAGAGTGTTCAAAGGTGGGCAGCTAAATTATTAAATTATATAAAAGTGCTAGAGAGATAACACTGGAAACTTTAGAAAAACTAGGTATGTTCAGACTCAAAAAAACCTCTTACCTAATATATCCAAGGTTAAGATAAACATTTACCAAATTAATTTTTTATCCCAAGTATTGTATATGGGGCAAGGGAATTTGGAGATCAGTTACACATGAAACAAAAATAGTTTTACCATAAATTTAGAAATGGGATCTTCAGAGCAACTGTGGTTAGGCTGTGGCAAAATTAATAAAAACTCATGATAGCCACAGATATTTTTGCACTATTATAGAATATTTTAAACCTGGGAGAACAGGAAGGAAGTTTTTTTCCCCCCTCCTGTGTGTAAAACCTACCTGGGGAGTTTTGCTTTGCCTTGCTCTGAACCAAAACCACAGGATATATGACAGGTTTAACTAGATGGACATGAATGTTTTTTTCAACCTACCATTTTGTTTTAAGTAGGACAGGGCTCAATCCCCAGATCTTCTTGGAAGTCTCTCCTGCTGTAGAGGACCCTGATGGTTAGATCCCTCACCACCCACCATAGAAGCCTGCTTCCTTTCAACAGTCTATGCTTTCAAAATAATTTTATATGTAAAGACAGCACAGAACTATGTGTCCCTCTACCCAGGAAACCCAAGAACCCAGCCTTTTAGCCACACTCCCTGCATGTCATGACTGTGCCCGATCTCCCTGCTGGTTTCCCAGTAGAAGGTAAGACCCGGTGGGAGATCTCCTCTTTACCTTACTCAGCAACCATATCATCTAGTGGGGTCATTATAGGGACAGGATGTTGGAGAAAGGGAACTTTGGTTGGCATATTCAGCCCAAGAATCAACTGAAACATGTAAGAGTCTCTGGATGAAGATTCAACCTGCCAGCCCATAATGGTGGAACCACCTTCTTAAAAACTATGGTTCAAAAAATGTATCAACCCTAATAACTACCTTTGTGGGGGTGTACAGCCCCTGTAACTGACTCCACGGGTGACATTAGTATATCCAATAAACCTCCGGTTCTAGCACAACCAGTGAACAGTGATAAATCCAATTTAATTAGTTCCTGGTAATGCACATTGAAATACACCATGTTATCCATAAAAACAAGGTTGGTGCCTAGATAAGCTGAAACAACAAATTAGATCCAGAAATACGATACTTAATTATTGTTTATTTATTATGGGTATTTTAGTGCATGTTGTTTGAACATCTGGTGTTGTTGCATAAAGTCAACATTTTTGATCAGGAGGACGTTTATCGAGATACAAATAACACGGACCTGGAATGCCCGGAGCCTTATGTCTACTTTCATAGTATTCAAACATTTACATTTCTAAAAGTATAAGCCACTTACTTGTTGAAATACTGGTGGATTTGGTAGTGGGGGACCAAAAGATGGCACATCTTCTCGTGCAGTAACCGATACCTGGGTAATAATAACATTAATAGCCGTCAATCAAGAAATATATCAGCTACAGTAAGCATTATCAGCAATTTACTTTTCTTAAATTTTTTGCAGGTCTTGGCCGTTAAAGTCTCTGTAAACTCAAGCTATATATAACATATAATGGCAAAGTTTACCTACTGGCAAAGCATGCCCTTTGGGTGTAAAAAAATAAATAAATGCTCAAAATGCCTATTTTTCTGTTTCATCAGTGGTCATGTGGCTGCTCAGTCCCAGAAGCTCTTTTGCTTTTGACAGGCTTAAGTGTTCTTAGGCTGTAGGTGGGGATACAGGAATGATTGACATTCTCGACTCTCCCTGGTATGACTACTTGTATAAGGTCAGTCAGACTACTAGAGTGTGCAGGACACTGTATGCTGGTACAGTGTCCCATACAATTATACAGGGGAAGCGCTGGATAGCATGACAACAATAGTCCTGGAAGTACCCTGGGCTTCTTTTTGTGATGGTCCAGGAAGCATTGACTGCTAGCCGGGTCCCCAGGTAATTTAGCAATATCGAAACAGAATATTAGGGTATACATGGAAGATTTAAGATGACTGTGTGGATACAGTAAATGGATCATTTTGATCTGGGTTTACTGAAACTTTAAGAAGGAAGTAGCAAGGAACTATTTATCTCCAGCACCGAATGAATGTAGTCTTCATTGGTTCTCAGGTCTGTTATTTGGTAAACTTAAAAGAGAACTGTGGGGTAAGTGGTTTTCCCCATAGTTCTCTTAAGGGTCACGGGAGGACATATACTAGCATCCTCCCATTACCCAAAGCTCAGTATATCGCGAACTACAGCTCACGGTATAATAAGACCGCCACAGCCGGGACGATTCCCGACAATGCTGTCGAGATCCACCCAGCTGCGTGAATGACAACTGGCTCTGCCTATGTACAGGCAGAGCCAGTTGTACCCGCCCTCTTCCCCATCCATTCGTCCAGTCAGCGCTGGAGGATCGGAGCGGGGAGGGGGGGAATCCCTGTGGGGAGCCGTGACTGCCAGTCACTGCTTTCTGCAGGGAGATGATCGGAAAGTGAGCGAGCGATGGTATGCGTTCGCTCACTTCCCAATCTATTGAGCCGACTTGTGACAGTTTCATTGTCACACGTTGGCTCGAACTATGAGGATGAATGATTTTCACTCGCCTCCTAGTTCTTCTTTAAAGTAAGTCTATCAGGATTTTAAAGTAAGTACTATAGGTTGCCATACACTTAGAATTTCAACCGATTTACAGGAATTAGATCAAATTCAAACAGTGAATGGGCCAGCGGGCTTGACAAAAGTAAGATACTCAACTTACTTTTGTCAAAGGAGTTGGGTGAAAATTGTCAGCCAAACAGTGACTGCAGCCAATTACCTGCAGTTACTATTTGGGTATTCTAACAGATGTTGAATGGGAATTCCTCCATCCACACTGTTTAGCATGGATGGATGAATTTGTTAGGCTCTTTGCTCTGTTCCCTGGCTGATGGAAAGAAATCTATTATTAGTGCATGGTCAACTTTAGAGAAACTACTACAGGGTGTCTGCTATTGCCTTTATTAGTCAGAAAATTCCTCTGTGTACCACTCTAGTTTCACTTTGTTATTAAGGAATTTGCTTACTTGACTCCAGGACTAGGTCCTGCACACCCAAATTCAAAGAGAGCAAACTTAGCCTAAAATACTGTATATTAAAAAAATACTGCAAGAGATGAGGGCTATTCTGGCAAATATGTGGAGAATGTGTGCAGTCATTTAAATATCCTGAAACTATGGTAGAGAGATCTCACTTTTTAACTATCCAAAACATAAAAAAAGCCAAGGATTGACTTAGTCCATCATACTTCACTAAAATATAACGTAAACATCCCTTAAAATTGGCATTAGATCCCTACATGACCTCTGATCCTGGGTGAGTGGCTGCATAATACAATTATAATAAGAAGAAAGTGTGTAAAATTAAATATAAACGGAGAAAGAAATATACAGAAATGCAAATTCTAAGGGACTGACCAATCATGGAATTGTTTATTAAGGGCGTATTGATTTTTTGATAATATAAATGGCTGCACAATATAAGTATAATACGAAAGAAATACGTATAGCTAATTGTAAATGAAAATAAAAGTATGAGGAATTAATTAAGTTTGAAATTATTTTACAGATGATGTATGTATACTTTGATAAATAATATTTTATGTCTATGAATAGATTTTTTGCAGAGAATAGAACCCCCTGAAGAAGCTCATATGTGAAACGCGTAGGGGATCAATGGAGCGGCACAACTATGTATATGTAATATAATGATGGATAAATGATTGATATTAGGAAATGGACAATTCATTATATATGATCTATATGCAAGAAATGTAGGGATTCGATAATCATGTGTATATATATTAACTTCGATTTTAATTTTCATCATGGAATTTTTTTTTTAATGAATTGAATAAATGTATACGATTTTCTAACCTTCTGAGTCCTCTCTTAAGAAAACCCCACCACAACTTTTGTTGTTTATGTATATGTATCACTTAAAATAAAAAAAAAGATTGTTTTGCAATTACACATATAATTGTTTAGAAAAAGTAGAAGTATTTCTCGTCAAAGAAAACAATTCATATAGTTGAAATTATGTACAATAGAAACATCACAAATACCCTTTTTATACAGGAATCCTTTTTCATATTTACTTGCATTTATTCCACTCTCTGTGATCCTTTTCAATCATCAGGCCAATAAAATTACAATGGGCATATGGTTTTCTGATTCAAGGGCCATTACAGTTTGGCTAGGCACATCTCCTCCCAATTATACTCATAAAGCAGCAAATCCTCCCTAATAACCCCATTTCTGTAACAGTAGTGTATGAGTCTCTGCCTGGTAACCATCCTGAAGGGGGAAGTGCCTGCCCTCCAATATTATTTGCACGAGAATATTGTCTGGATAAAGCCAGCTGCTTCTTGGAAACAATTAACAGCTCTGTGCTGGCCAATCTGTTCTTTTCAGGACGCCTCACCAAACAGCACATTCTGTAATGCTTTGTATAAAAAGGCAATTTATTAAAATAATGCTGCTGTAGATATAACTTTGTGTTGCTCTGAGCAGAGCTTCCTGTTGTAAGCTAAGCTACAAAGAACCAACTACAAAGAACCTGCCTGACATTCTACCATTTACTTATTCTGCAAATAAAGTCAGGGTTATTTTACAGGAACACATGAAAAAGAAGTATGTGTATATATTTGTTCCCTGTTGATTGCTGATCCAATTGCTTCTGTATTTTCTAAATTGCTGACTGGGGGTTATGACTTTTGTCTGACATTTTGGATCTGCGTGGTTGTTTCAAGTCTGTGTCTCAAAGAAAAAGCTAGGCAACTAGAATTTTCACGAGGAGTTCTGCAATGATGACCTTTAGGTGTCGCTCAGTACAGGTTTCTTTTAATAAGTCAGTGAAAAGGGCAGTGACATCGTGCTCAATAACTTACAGCAACCAATCAGAAATCATCTTTGAACTGATCAGTGTACACTAAAGTGGGATAGTTTGGATAACTATATTATTTTCCATTGCTCTTTGCATGTCTAATATGCACATTTATGCTAGACAAAGCTACAATCTTAAAGTACAACTAAAGGCCCTTGTATGACAGTCTAAGCCAGTACAAAATCCAGTTATTAAGTGATACACAAGTCTCATAAGGTTAAGAAAAAAAAAGCTTTTTTTTTACCTCCCTGACGGAGCCAAATCAACCTTTATTTGTCTCACATGCTCCCTCTTTCAGACACTGCAGCTCACAGTGGGAGGGTTTCAGCAACAGATGCAGTCCTGTCAATCCAGAAAGTAGGAGGCAGGACTAGGTGTGGTCAGGTTCTTATTGACAAACTAGAGGCTTGTGAATCACCTGTAACAATGCTGATAGCTACACCCCCTGAAACTGTGTCTTAGCCCACTGACACAGCCTACATGAGAGTGGAAACTCTGCTCTGTATTCAGGACAGTGCAGCAGGATTGTCAGACCATCACATGAACCTGCATTAGGTGGATTTCACTGGCAGAATCAACAGGTATTTATGGGACTTTGCAGGGGGACTAGGAAAATGTAGATGCACTTATAATAAAGTGCTGCAGCACAAAGTCCTGCTATTCCACAATATGCAGTATGTAAAGTATGTACATAAAACTAAAGTTAAATGTAGGTGATCTGTTGAGCTTGGATAAAGTAATAGCTAAATATTTTAAGCACCTCTTTGCCTGAGGATCTTTGCCCACTGTTAATAGCTTTAGTATATAGTAACATAGCCTTGGGATTCCATGGGGGGAATTTATCAGAGCAATTGCGAGTGTTTGAACTCGCATATGGTTGCATGGGATATATTTGCGCCAGATTTATGTTGCTAGTGTAATGTTGTTCATAAATTAGGTTAAATTGACTCCAGGAAAGAAGGCTCATAACTCCAGGCAAAAAGCTTCACTGTCGCTTCTTGAAGAAGTGGTCATGGGGACTTCTTAAGTTGCGATTGTTTTGTTAGGTGTTTCTCCAGTTTCAGACAGCTGACTGGGGGACAGCAGAGGACAAGTGCAGATGTAAACAGTTGCGAACTTTCGCAAAAACACGTGCAATCGGAAAAATAGTGCAAGCTCTGGTCAAAACAGGCGCACATGTTAAAAGGAGTGGCTAAACAGATTTGCACATACAAAAAAAATGTTCTAAGAGGCTAAAACTGCTGCAATTGTTTTGATAAATTCCCCCATATTCTCCTATAGTTTAGTTGGAAATGGGTAACACTAATATATACACAGTGGTACCTCGGCTCACGAACGCTTCTGTTCGCGAACAATTTGGTACCCGAACAGGAAGTTCAGCAAAATGTTGCTTCCATCCGCGAACTCCGCATCATATGTTTACATTGCTTTATCTTAATATTGTTGTTGTTAATATTTATTTTTGTAACTTTATTCTGCCTTCAACATTTAAAAGTGTAATTTCATAAGATAATTTAAGAGGGTGGGTTTAGGGGCGGAGTTAAGGCCGAGGCAGGGTTGGGGTTAGGTGGGGTAACTGGTGGCGAGTAACTCTTAAGGCCTGGCTAGTAGCTCAGGACTTGAAATTTTGAGCCCTGATATAGATATATATTCTAAACTGTTTATCTGATATGTAACCAATAGAGGCTTGGAGTCTGTGGGAGTGAATATCAGGTAAGAAAAATTGCTTTACACAGGTACCCCAGATATTAATGAGCAGTTAACCCTTGGGTTAGTCCCACTGCAAGAGGATTTTTTTTTCTGGGGATAGGCTTTAAGCCTGCCTGCTTATAAATTAGGATTCAATAAAAAAGAAGTACTACTAATAATCTTCCTCTTCACTTCTTCCTAGGATATAAGATTTTGACCAGCTCCCATCAGATTAGCAAATATATTATGACAATACGCTGTACGTTGCTGCTATTTAACCAAGGGAGGAGGATTTAGGGGTTCTTGTTTAGTCCAGCAGTTTGGCCAAGAGAGAATAATGCTGTTTTACTAAAGAATTCTGTGTAATTTGGTGTATACTATTTGTGGGACTATTTGCTTCAATTATCCAATTATGTGTAAAGCAAATTTCTTTTCACAAATTGATAATTGAAAAGGTGAGATTCACATATGATTTCATCTTCTTATATTTCTAAATCTACCAGTTTGAATTGCTCAGGTGTGTGACAGGTTTATCTTAGAGGTGCACTCCAGTCAAAATGAAAAATGTTACTCTGATATGCAGACAAGGAACATAGCCCACCTGCTCAGTAATTAAATTTGTCATGCAGTAATTAATGCACAGTATCATTAACTTTAGTCCCCTTGATGGCTAAACTTGAGAACCCCTGCTCGTGACATAGGAGAGGTATTCCTACACACACCAACTTGGTTGTCGCTTACATACCAAATGCCTTTTGCAATAAATCCCAACTATCAAGGTTCCACCAGTTGCCAATTAGATTTATGCCTGCCTTGAAAGTGTGAGTGGTAATGCAGAAAGAAGAAAGAGCGACCCTGTTAGATACTATCTTGATTCTCCTTATGATCCATTACACAGAACACAGATTAAAGTACATTTAGTGAACATGCTGACTTTACTGTCTGGATTTGCTTTGTAGTTATATTTAAACTGAGTCTGTCATATGCTGTTTTCTGGGTTTTTTTTTAAATCCCTGCATAATATGAGCCACTGCGAGTTCCATCTGCTAACCTGATAGATTCACTGCCTTCATAAGGCCTTTCACATTGTTTCTAATTCTTTGTTCCCTTCTTGCTCTCATTCTGTTTATTTTGCTGTAATAAACAGTGATGCAGTGTACAAAAAGATGTGACCCATCATGTTTTTTTAAGCAATTTTGGTCTGTATTTGTCCCAAACTAGATCAGGTTTTGGGGGCATGGCACACCTTTTAACAATGGTATGGCACGATGCAACAGAAAACAATTGCCTAGATAATATATGAACCACATTACTTACCTTATAAGTCGTATAGTCCGTCTCTGGATTCTCAACTTGCACCACAATGTACGCATGAAGAAAGTTTGATGCAATCATATCTGGGACGAAGGGAGTATTCTCTTCTTGAAACACAATAGCCACAATATCATTACCAATATGTCTTTTCCTCTGCAGCTGAAATTAAACAAGTATGGAGACTAAAGATATATGTAGACATGAGATATATTTTATTAATAATATCAATGGTTTAACTATAGCCATAGCAGCCATGTGGCTGCTATGGTGCCTAGGAATTAGAGGCAGCCCTACTAGGACAGAAAATTAGTGTGCTTGTAAAGATAACACATTTCCAGTATTGTATCATTATTACCGATAGCCTCAAGCCTCCATTTTAAAAGAGATGCCAGTCAGATGCACAACCAAGTATTTGAGAGCATGCTGTCACTAGATATCCTTTTCTTCCTCCAATATCCGAGTAGATTTATTGCCTTCAGAGCTTCTTGTCAACCTGACCAGCTCTCTGATATTAACCTTATATGCTTGACAAAGTCTTCCCAAGGCTAAAAAAGCTAAAAAGTCATTTGAGATTTGTAATTCTATAAACAATTCTGCCACAACCTAAACAACAAAAGCCACAACTTCATTTGAATTAAGATTATAGAGTAACAAGTAGTGCAAGGCAGTCCACTACAGCATTAACAATTATTTACCGATTTCTAAACCACAAAGCACAGTATTCAGCACTTGCTGGCTGTGGAGATGGAGGGACGTACATTTTACTCTGAAGCCCTATGATCCTATACTCCAAAATAGAACAGCTGATGCTAACAAATGCTGGAGAGCCTCTGAGCAAATGTAGAGTAATTTCTTGCACTGCTGCTCTAGTAATTCCTATTGTCTAAGCTCTGGTGTTGGCTTTTGACAGAGCTTAGACACAGGGATGATGTAATTTAACCTGGAAGACTGGCAGCATCTTGTGGCGGAGAAGAAGTACTATGTGGGACATCTTTAGATTGATGGTAGGTATTGCAGCAAAAGCTTTACTTTTAAACATGCAGGGTAATAGATTAAAAAATGGATTTCTGCTTTAAATAAAGCTAGCTAGCGGTCATTGTTTTGTTAAAACTTCTTGATTTCCTACATGTCATTGGAAATGTAGGAAAGAGGCAGCAGTGACATACAAGTTATATCAAAGGAATAAGCCCACCCTGTGAAGGTAGTAATACTAAAGCTTCCAGCGCTGACTTGTTTTTACAGATATCAGCTGTGGGGCTGTTATCTTGATACTGGCTTCACTAGCTAGTGAGTCGCTGGCCTGGTGTAAGCATACATGCAGACTAAAAAAAAATCTGCAGAACCTGATATGGTGTTTGCATATGTTTGAAAACATTTAAAGGGGTTAATGGATAAAGAAACAGTCTGATATTCTTAAACTACAGAATACGGTTAAAGGTTAATTCCCGCTCTTGGGTACAAAACATCCTCAAAATCACAGTTAGTATAAGGATAATATACTGAAAGCACTTAAAGACTTTACATATTTAATTTCTTCCAAGTTAAATATACACTGCCTGTCCAAAAATAAAGTCACACACTCTAATATTTAGTTGAACTGCATTTAGCTTTGATTAAAACATTCATTCGCCATAGCATCATTTTAATAAGCTTATGCAATGTTACAACATATATTTCCATCCAGAGTTGCACACATTTTTCACCAAGATCTTATAGTGATGATGGGAGAGTTGACCACTGTGTAAAGTCTTCTCCAGCACATCCCAAAGATTCTCAGTGGGGTTAAGCTCTGGACTCTGTGGTGGCAAATCCAAGTGTGAAAATGATGTCTCATGTTCCGTGAACCATTCTTTCACAATTTGAGCCTGATGAATCCTGGCATTGTCATCTTGGAATATGCCCGTGCCTCTAGGGAAAAAAAAAATCCATTCATGGAAAAACCTGGCCATTCAGTATATTCAGGTGGGCAGATGACCTTATTTTTCGTGCACATAAAGTTTCTGAACCTAGACCTATTTATTATCCAATGGAAGGCTCTGACCTATTTGCTTAGCTAAATCCAGGTGGTGACTTTTTTTGGTCAGGCAGTGTACTTTCTAATTGAATAGCGGTTTAAAAAAGAAGTGCATTTCACAGTGATAGAATCTGTTTGTTGAAAGAAAAAAAGTTATCTGGAGCCTCCACAAAGAGGTTTCTCATTGCCTCTGTTAGGCAGATAATCATCAGTTCGAGAAACAGACATGCAGCTTCTTATTATAAAATACATTTATACATAGTACATCCAATTTTATTTACTTCAGATTATCTTTTATATAGCAATAATTATTTAAAACACTCTATTAAAGACATCTACTCCATTTCCAACAGCCGTCACTTGCCTTCACTACTCCCCAACTTCAACCCCCCCTATCTCACTCTCTTCTCTCATTCATTCTCCAACACTTATCAGCTTCTGGTGGAAGGGGGAAGTCTATAGCTCCATTTAAGATACACCTAGAGGGTATATAT